CTGTCACAAGCAACCAATAATTTCTTCTTCGGATCATAATGGACCAGTACGGTGGATGATTGGAGGAGGTTCTCCAAACGTTCAAACGCTTTTGTGTGTTCTGTTTCCTATTTCCATGTTTGATTCTTGCGTAGTAACCGGTAGAGTGGCTGTAGAACACTTGACAAATGAGGAAGGAACTTGCCATAGAAATTGATTAAACCAAGATAGGATTTTAACTAGCTGATGTTGGTGGGTACTGGTGCTTCAGTCACCGCTTGCACTTTGGCTTCGGCGGGATAAATGCCTTGGGCGCTAATTCGATAGCCAAGACAACCAAGGACCGGTTGCATGAAACGACACTTGGATCTTTTTAAACGTAAACCGGCTTCGGATAGCCGTTTCATCACTTCTTCGAGGTTCTGTAAATGCTCGTCATCTGTTGCACCCAGAGATCAGAATATTGTCGAGGAGAACTCCTGTAAAGGGAATGCCATTCAGAAAGCCTTCGATAGTTCTCTGGAAAATACCTGGTGCGGAAAATACTCCATAGGGTAGACGGTTATATCTGTACAAACCACGATGAGTATGAATCGTAACACATTCTTTCGAGTCATCCTCGAGTACCATTTTCTCATATGCGTGGCTCAGATCAAGTTCGGTGAATGTTTTCCCACCTGCTAATTTATTATTGATTTACGGTCAGTTTGTAATCCCCACCAGGCCTCGAATTTCCCTGAAATCAATCGACGGCAATGGCGTTAAAAATTGCCGTAGAACGTAACAGCTGTCTACGGCAATTTTAGCGGTAATGCGCGTAGGTATTATCTGCGCAGTGCAGTAGATCAGTATTTATTTACTTATTCGATATTCACATTCGGATCCACAGTATTTATATTATAAACAAGTATGTCCCTCATGGACAGGGTTAACAGTATGGTCGTGGCTGAGAAGCTGAAACGCACCCTGGTGGGGGAGCTCAAACACACCCTGGCGCAGTAGCAAATCTAAAAGAAAACGTCAACTAGTGTGAGCACGAAAACCTGGTTAAATCGTTCCTTGTTATTCAAGATAGTAGTATATAGTAGAACTTTACCAGACAAAAGCTAGGACATACTGAGCTTATTCCATAATACATGCAATCTCGTTTTGAGCGTAGGTCCTAGGCCAGGATCCAATAAGTGAGATTTTATTGTATTGATAAAAATCTGGGCTGAAGGATGAAAACATTTCTTTCAGTTTATAGATAGTTATGATGAAATTATGGATTTCATATTTCCTCCTAATTTAAATTTTTAATGACGAATTTCGAGTTGGTGCTTGGGAGATGTTTCTTTAATGAATTTATTTACCCACGGTGCTATTTCACGATAAAATTAAAAATATTTACAAAATGAGAAGTGACCTTCCAATAGGCCGTTAACGTCCGTTAATTAACGTCACAGTTAAACGTCCTTCACTGGTGCAGTCCGGTTTCGTCGGTTGGAAAAGATGGTTGGAATGAATGGAAAAGTCGGTCCAAATCCAAGATTGGTATCATAGAATATACTTAAGCGATGGATGGACGCACAATTTAAGAAGCGCCAAACATATGTTACATAGTTGATAGTATTTAATAATACATTAAAAATCCAATCAGAGGTTTTCCTAGGAGTTTATATAAATATCCCTTAATTTAAAGACCGGGACAAACTGGGAAACATTGTTGCGCAAAGATATTTGTCATATTTATATTTGTCTTTCGGTATGTCATTACCAGCGTCGGCAAACGGGGAAAGAGCGTTTCATCAAATGTTTCTGAATTAGGTAGGAAATATTTTTGCTTTCCGGGAAGGAAATTTTGGTTTCTGCAATAAAAGCCAATGTTTCCAGATATTGGAGACAGGGAAAACCTTGAGCAAACATTGAAACTATCACGAATATTTCCGCGACAATGTTTTTTACGTTTGGCCAAGGCTTTAGTTTAGCGAAAAATTTAATTTGTTCCTTGATCTTGTGAATTGTATGCATATTTATATATTCTCCGTCCTGTTTGGTACAGGTGAGTTTAGATACCTCACACAAATTTGTATTGAATTAGGATGCAGGGACCGCGGAGACGGGGGGGCTGGGGGGGCTTTAGCCCCCCCACTTTTTTTGACAGCCAAAATTATTAAAATAGAAATCTAAATGAAACTTTCTAAATTAATTAAACCTCACCCTTTAGCCCCCCACTCTCTAATACGCTCCGC